ATACATGTATCTTGATCATAACTATCCCTAATGAATGCATTCTCAGAAATTAGAATATTTACTGGATTTAACTCTACAAATCATGACTACAAACCACCTTATTTTCTCCAAAAATTAAGAGCACAACTTAATAACCACACTAAAATGTCCAATAATTTGGAGCATATTAATATTTTAAATCTAGTATTCCAAAGAACATCACAAAGGTAGAGACTGGGGAGATGGCTCAGTGATTAAGAGCACCGGCTGCTCTTCCAGAGGACTGGGGTGTGGTTCCCAGCACCCACATAGTGGCTAACAGCTGTCTGTAACTCCAGTTCCAGGGGATCTGACACCCTCTTCTGACCTCCACAGGCATTTCACACAGGTATGTACATATATACATGAAGTCAAAATACTCATACACGTAAAATAAGAATAAATTAATTGATTAAAATTAAAAGAAAGCTTTAAAAACCTGTTAGAACATTGTGGAATAGTATGAAGTAAACAGGTGGTTTGAACATAAGAACCGCTGTACTACATATACACACAACTGCTCTGTCATTCAAAGTTAGTATCATGCAAACACAATGTGAACTTCTACATAAGCAAAGACTATGTCAATTTGAGAAAATATATTATGGATAATTCTGTCACTCTTAACCACAATTTTCTGCCTAATTCTGTTTTAGAGCATATACTTTGAAGACTCAGGGTTACTCTACTACATTTTGTCTTTTTATGTATCTACTGACTCAATGGATTAGAAGAAAAAATTTTAAAAACATTCTAAGATATTTAAAATTATTCTAAAACTTAATATTATAACTTAAAAGTTCTAAAAAAACAAATACTTCATGTTTATGTACACTACTAACTCTGGTGAACCTGTCTATGCCTCCTGAGATCAGAGACATGTTACTTTCTGGAAACAGAAAACTGAGTAATCAGTATCAAAACAATCTTATCTCATTAGTACATTAAAATCCTTCAGAAGGCACATTAGAAATGAGTTCTTGGTAAAAACCGCATAGTTCCATGGCATTGACAATTACCTATGAATTAACTCAAGGGAGCTAGTCTAGCTCTGATCTTACTCAACTACTACAAAGCAGCTAACAACTGTCCATAATTCTAGTTCCAGGGGATTCAATACCCTCTTCTGACCTCTGCAGACATTGCACAACATGGGTGCACTTACACACATGCAGGCAATACACTCATACACATAAGATAAAAATAATAAAATTTTTCTCAAAAGAAAGAATCACAGAAATAAAAATCAGACCAAGAGCGTGGCTTAGATGGTTTTTAAACACACAGACAGAGAAAAGTATATGGAGAGAGTAGGGGTGGTGTGTGGGGGGGGGAATCTAAATAGTTTTGATTCATGATCTACAAAATTTCTGAACACTTACTCTTCTTCAACTATGATATTGATCATGGTTGAATCAATACCACAATAACCTCTACAAAAAAAAAACCACAAACAAACAAACAAACAAAAACTGTCCTATATGTAATTTTTCTCTTGCTGTTTGGTAATGTTTTGAGGTAGGGTATCACATAGCCCAGGCTGTCTCTGAACTTACTATGTAGCAAAAGCTGGTCTTTCCAACTCATGGTCCTTCTGCCTTTGCCTCCTGAGTGCTAGAATTACAGATGTGCACTATTACTATCCCCACCTCTACAGCTGTTTTTGGAAAGTCACATACAGATCTCCACACCCTGAAAAGTTCAGAATTTCAAATGCAGCACAGCCTGTCTGGTATACCTATTTTCTTTTGCAGTTCATGTGCTAGACAAGAGACTCCCCCTTCTGCCGTATCTGCTCAGATCCCATGCCACACCTAAGCATCTTCTACTCAGTTATGCACATGAAACTTTGCTCTTTTAGAAAAAAAGGATCTGATTCTGTATTCAAAGACTTTGCTACAGTAGGATAATTCAAGTTAATGTTAAATTTTGTACCACCAAGAAACAAATTACATTAGATAATTCCTTGGCCTAACAATTGACAAGCAGTTTTGATTCCTAATAAAATCTCTGACAAGGTTATACTCACTGACCAGATAAAATGATCCCACAAGTGTGGGTTATCCACAAAAGAGTTCTCTGTATTTGTAGTTAGGCCTATAGTTACAGACTATAATGAAAACCCAGTATTTACTTTTAGTTTCTTCAGTTTTGTTCTTCCTGATAGTATGTTATTTAAATTCATAATCTTTTTGGAGAAAAATCAAATTTAATGCAGCTAGGAAAATAAAACTCTACCTGGCTTATAGACACAGCTAAAGCTCCTTCCAATTCTTTTATGTTCCTCCAACTGGACATTTTGGATTTAAATCTATTCACTTCCACTTCTGTTATTCTTCACCTAAAAATGGAAGGTTACCTTTGGTTGTTTACACTCTGTACATATTTCCCTCTAGATACTTAACTGAGGACTAGTAATGGTCTCATAGTGACCTAATGATTGTGTAATGTGCATAAAAAAGAATGGGTACACTTTTTCCTAAATATCACTGTGGTATTCTCTCTCAACCACTTTGCCTGTGTAGACATAACTAAAACTAATACTGTACTCAACAAATTTAAAATAAATACATTTTTTTTAATTCCACTTTTCTTCTATGTTGAGAAGAAAGCTTTATTAAAACACACTAAATATGCTTCCCCAAGACTAGCTCCACTCTGAAATAAAATGGAGGGAAAAGAAAATAAAAAGTCTGTAATCTGCTCCTTTCAAACCATGAACAGATCTGAGCAGCACCTGCCTTACCAGAAAGTGCGCTCAACTGCATTCTAAGTGTTCTAGCTCCGGACCCTCCTCTCTTCAGTTCCACTGTATCACTGCTGATTTTCCTTTCTCTTCTCGGAAGAGAATCATGTTGTTTTAAAAGTTATTTTAAATTGAACTAGTAACAACTGGTCATGTAAGTGATATCAGTTGGGTCTCCTAACAGTAGGCACATCAGGCACTGAATCTTATGTTTCTGATTTTATTCTCACAACAACCTGGCAGGACAGGCAGTTATTTTCTCTTCAAGAGGAACGATGGTGAAACGAAAGCTCAAGGAAATTGAGTAATCTGCCCAAGCACCGGGTTAGGAAAGACCTGACTAGAAAATGTCACAACCAGGGCTTTAAGCTATTGTTGTCCAACTCCAAAGTCCATGCTCAGTCCACTACACCCTTTATATAAACAACCTTTTTCTGTCTGTCTAGCATGACAACTAATTGTGTCTGAGACACAATATTTTATCAACTTTCAGAAAGCTACAGTGGTCTTTAAGTTAAACATTTTAAGGTGACAAGTAACACCTGAATTAGTTACTCACACTAGATATAACCCAAGATACAAGTTCACCAAGTAAAACCTTTGATTAATACATCCAGCTTTCTCTCAAACAACTAGTAGTAATGATGCATCATCTTCTAATATCACATACTGAGTCGACATTTCTAACTAAGCCGAAGAATCCAAAGTGGTATTAGTATTCTCTGTCTCCAGTGCTGTCTGGTATGTGCAAGGAGTGTCTGCCTGCCTGTGGAGGAGTGCTTTTTAAACCTACCTCCTCAACCAATTTGCCTGTGTAGACGTAACCAAAACTAATTTACTTAACAGAGGTTTTTATACTACTTTTCCTGATAATAGTCAAACTAGTCTTTAAAAGAGTTAATGAAATCATCAAATTCTTCCAATTAGCGGGACAAATGCAAAAGTTAACAGAAAAAAAAAGTATCATTTGTTATTTCTCTAAAACAAAGAAGGGCAAAAATAAGTGTAACTATTTTAAGTGAGTCTCAGCCAGCTTTTGCAGCTTTGAATGAGAATTACAGACAAGAAGCTGGAGAGATGGTTAGGAATTAGGAGTACTTGCAGCTCTTGCAGTGGACCCAGGTTCGGTTCCCAGCATGCATATTGGGCGGCTCACAGTAGCCTGTAACTCAAGTTTCAGGGGCTCTCACACCCTCATCTGCCCTCTGTAGGCACCTGCACACATGTGGTACACATATATACACTAAGGCACACATATACATGTAAGCAATTTTTTTAAGACTAAGAGTCAAAAGAAAAGCTATAAGCATCCTAGCTTTACCATGGTTGAGCAAAAATAAAGCTTAGCGTAATAATTGACTGAAAACATTCATTCATTTGTGCCTTCATAGCTACCCCGAATGTACCCTACCCCTACCCTTTTCTGAAGTGCTTCATCTTTTGAGCACATGGAGGCCTATAGGCTCTGTATGTTTCCCAATTCCATGAGAAACCTAACTTAGGCTAGACCTTCCCCTAATGTGTCGAGTAAAAGCCACTGAAACTCAAAACAAAATTCACCTTCCAGTCACTTGAAATCTTACCCCATTTGTTTAACTTTAATTTTCAAACACATCATTTATAATATGTTGACACTTAAAAATGTCTCCTTTCATTAAAGATGAGGGAATTTGGGAGAAAAGTAGGACACACAAGTTAGAGGTTACCAGGAACTTACATTTTCCAATGACTCCTTTCTAAATGGATATTTAGGTTTTCATCACTAGGAGACAATCCAAAGCCCCACTCACCCATTCTCCCACTGCTTTCCAATGATCAGCCAACAGTTTTATTCTCTTTCTTTTGTAGACTTTAAAAGCAAAAGCATTCTTAAGTACATAAGAGGCATTCTACAAAAAAAAAAATTAAGCTAATCATTTTATTTTATTTTATTGGTCTTTTTGAGACAGCGTCTCCCTGTAGTCCCAGCTGGCCTGGTAGACCAGGCTGGCCTTGAACTCACAAAGATCCACCTGCCTCTGCCTTCTGAGTGCTGGCATTAAAGGTGTGTGCCACCACCCAGCAAGCTATTCATATTAATAACAGACAAATCTTACTAAGAAAATGTCAAGCAATCTTGCCAAATATAAGGAAAACAAAGTTACACCCTGAATTTTCAGAATGGTAACAGTTGGCAGATCCAAACATGAAAACAAACAGACTTTTTTTATAAGACTCTTAAGTACATACTACTTACATGACACCTTGTAGAACTTTCTGGGGATCAGGGTCAAATAGCCTGTCAACATAGTGGCGACTGCTAGCTGTTACTTCCTAGAAAGTAGGGGAAAAATTATGACATCTGAAGCCATGCAAATCACAAGTTCATAGCATCACCTACAACATCAAACAGCTATACAGTCCACCTTAAGAAAGATGAACGATTCCTAGTAGGGCACTGTATCTGCTCCTCTACTGATGGGGAATACTTAAGTAAATGGATTTTTCCTCTTAGTTTTCAAAATAACTGGAAACTACAGTGCTCAGTTCAAGATGCCAAAGGTCAAATTTTTTTAAAGAGCACCTAATTTTTTTTCTTTTTGGTTTCTGAGACAGGGTTTCCTGTAGTCCCAGGTGGCCTGGAACTGGCTATGTAGACCAGGCTGGCCTTGAACGCACAAGGCCTGCCTCTGCCTCCCAAGTGTTGGAATTAAAGGCATGCGCCACCACGCCCGGCTAATGAGCATATAATTTCAAAAGTAAGAAAATCCATGAAATACTATAAATTTTAAAACTGAAACCAGCAGAAGTTTGAAAAAAAAAAATCAACATAATTGCAAAGTACAGATCTTGCTCATTTAAAAATCAGAATGGGGGGCCGCTAAGCCCCTAAATTCATTTTTTGTCATCACTTTAAAAAATTTTTCTGACACAGGCCTCTGAAACCATGATAAACAATAGGTTAGGTAGAAAGAAGATATCCAGTTCTCACCAGAATAGTCTGGACACTGGGCCCTTTCTGGTGAGCCCTGAGAGCTTTGTCAGCAGAAGTGGGCACATATGCCCAGAAACAAGCTGGGTTCCTTCACTAACCATCGGGAGTTGTGCATGTACGAGCACTGCAGAGGGGCCTTACTGTGCTTAGTAGACACTAAAGGGGAGAAAATACAGCCCTGGTCAAACAGAAGGGATAGTACAAGGAGTCCTTTTGACTGATATAAGAGGAGCAACAGATGTAAGTACAAAACTGTAATAATGTAGTTGTAACAGCTCCTCTCAAAGAAAACAGTGCAGAATTAGAGTGATGTATAGGTTCAAGAGAGCTATCTAGTCAGAACTGGCTACGGCTTGATAGAACTGTAAAGTCCTATTGTAGAACAGGGGTGTCAGCCACAAGCCTGTCCCAGCAGCTGCGAGGCTAAAGAAGACTGCAAGTTTGAGGCCAGACTGACTACACAGTGAGCCCTTCTCAAAAAAAAAAAAGAAAAAAAGGAGTAAAAGGAGAGACCGCCTGCTATTTGCACTGTGCTCATTATGCTTTCTTAGGTAATATTTATCTTGTTGGATAAGATTCTTTTATATTTAAGTTTCAATATGCAACATTTAAAACAAAAGGCATATTGAAGAACCAGGAAAAAAAAAAAAACTACTTCTGTTCATTTTCTGATGTCTGCTGGAACATGCTTATATGCTGTCACCCATTAGTTATGACAGGGACAAAAAAAACCTTTCCAGTTTCCTCAAAATTCCAAATTAGCAAGAGTTACTGCCAAGATACAACTTCAGTTTAAATGTCTGTCACCAAAAGTAACTGGCAAACCACACAAATGCTTAACTTGCCAAATAATAAAAATGATCAAAATCAGCTTGTATTTCCATATTCTGAATCTGCTGCCAAAATATAAGTGAAGTTATAAAAACCAAACAGCAGAAGTAAATAAAATCAACAGTGATGAAATTACGCCTTCCATGTATATTAGTCTTCTAGTACAGTCTGTTTGCCTCAAAACGACAGGATGAAAGTTAGAAGGACTCTGAACAATTGTCCCACTTCCATGGTTTACAAAGTTTCTTAGGATCATCACTCAGATGTCAGATCATGAAATGTTAATTAAGCAACTACAGGAATATATGGTGAGACACTGTATCAGGAGCAAAAGTGGAGAAATGAAAAAAGCTGTTCTGTAAAACAGGAAGAGTTGACACTCCATGTAGGTACATTTGTTCCTGTGTGTGTGTGCACAAAAGTACCTAAAGTCTAGATAGAGGCTGACATCTGCTATTGCTCTCTACCTGGTTTTTGTTTTTTTTTCCCCTTGTTTGTTTGCTTGTTTTTAGATAGGATCTCTCACTGAACCTGGAGCTTATCAATTTGGAAAGTCCACCTGGTTAGCAACTCCAAGGATCTTCCTATCTCCTCCTCCCCAGTGCTAGGATCAGTTTGTACCACCATGTCTAGCTTTTCACTTCAGTGCGGGGATCTGAACTCAGGTACTCATCCTTGAGGCAAGCACTTCACCAACTGAGCCATTTCCTAGCCCCATTTCCTGGCTTTCTAATAAAGTAAGATCTTCTGAATATCTCAAACCCGGAGCCTCTTTCCCATTTAGAGACTGGTATTTGCCTTTTCTGCTAACCTCTTTACTCCCTCACAGCTCTGTATCTGTTGCCTCTCAATGTAGTTAAAACTAACAGACAAAAAGGTTTGGTACTTATCTCCCTCCTTCAAAAAATGTGAATATCTAGCTGTCTTAGCACCATTTGTAGAAAAAGACCTGGTGAGTATTTTGGTGCTCTTACTGAAAATCCTATTTGGGGTACAGGGAGCCCCACAAATTAATTCATTTCTATTCTTGGTTTTCACTAATGTATATGATCTTATGCCAGGATCAGTGTTGATTACCAAAGCTTTCTAGTAAGTTTTTAAATGGTAAATTATTTTTCTTTTTTTGTTGTCTTTTTGGTCTTTTTTAAGACTGGGTCTCCTTGTAGCCCCAGCTGCCTGGAACTCACTATGTAGACTAGGCTGGTTTGAAGTCACAAAAATTTGGCTGCCTCTGCCTTCCATGTGCTGGGACTAACGGTGTGTGCCACCATGCCCGGCTTGTAATTATTTTTCAAGATTGGCTGTCCAAACTTTTCTTCCCTTAATAACAGCTCTTTCCTACTTTGTGCCTGTTTCATTCAATGAAACAAGCAGTGAGTATCTATATGGATGTAGTGGAATGTGTTAAAGATGAAAATTTTAATAAGGTACAATCCCTGCCCTAAAGAATTCAAGCCCCACTGTAACTAAGTTTGCATAATTTTGTGTTTCCTACTAGAATACAAAAACAGGTACATACAATGTAAAGCACTGAGGAGTTAAATAAACTGAAATTGGAGAAGCTTTTTAGATGAGTGGGTTTTAGAAAATGCCTAGTATACACCAGAATGGACAAGGAAAGACAGCTTCAGAATCACAGCCATAGGACAGGTGAAGCCTGAACATCTAAACCAACACGTATACAAGCCGCTGGTAAAAGAACAGAGAGGGAGAAGTGGCACCATTCAGTACTCCGCAAGGCCTCTTGTTCAAAGGCCTATCCCAAAGAACATGCCAAGAGGTACTGAAGGCAGAGTCTTGTAGGAAGCTTCCAGTCTTTAAGAGGTCAGTCCCCTTAAGCCACTGAAGCTGTGGCAGCAAGCAAATTCAGAGCATGCAAGCTTTGTGCCTAACATTCATGCCTATGTCTGCATGGGACAGTTCTTGCATCTTACCGCTTTCCTTCGTAGATAGGGCGTCTCTCCCTATTGTTCTCTATTCTTAAGACGACAGTGTGGTAATGAAGTAGTCAAGCAAAGACCTGAAGAAGGGCAAGTCTTTACAAAGAGAGCAACCAACACAAGGCTCTGAAGTGCAGTGTCTGTCACCATAAAGAACAGGAATAGAAGGGACAGAGGCGGAGGCAGTAGGAGGTGAGACCAACAACAGTGGCCAGTTGGCAAAGAGCCACCTGTCTAACATGACAGCCACTATGGCTGTTTACCGTTTGACACACGGGTAGAAACTAAATTTATCCAATTTTAAAATTAATTAAAAATTAGTTATAAATTTTGTGAAATTGAAATATAAACCAAGTATTTCTAATAAAAATTTAGCATTCAAACTATATAAAGTGTGCACTACTTTCAAGACTTGATATGACAAGAGTAAAATAACGTTAAAATTATTTTCGTTTTCAGGACTAGAGTGGTTAAGAACACTGGTTATTCTTGCAAAAGGCCTGGGTTTGAATCCCAGCACCCACATGGCAGCTAACAACTGTCCGTAACTCCAGTTCCAGGGGATCTGACAGCCTCTTCTGTCCTCTGCGGGCACTGCATGACATGGGTACACTTACCTACATGCATGTAATACATGCATACACATAAAAATAATAAAATAAAACATTAACAAAAATTATTTTCATGTTTTCATTTTACATTTAATAGCATGGCTACCAGCAATTTTTAATTACATAGTTTTCTTTATTTTTTTGTTGGCCAGCACTGGTATAGAGCCTTTTAAGTCACTGTAAGGATTCTGATTTTTATGGCATGAGTGGGAAACCAATAAAGGGTTTTGGGGGAAAGATACATAATCTGACTTCATTTTAAAAGGTTTGCTTTGGCTGAAATTTTAGGAACAAGTACATACAAAAAGGGGAGGGGCTACAAGTACAGAGAGGGGAGACCAGACACGAGCTACTTCAGCAACAGCATTGAAATGACAGTAGCCAGGCCTAGAGTGAACACTGAAGATAGGAAGGTTCTCCCAAACTCCAGATAAATGGAGAAGTGTGAAATAACTGTCAAACTGGACATGTTACCAGACTGGATATAGGACAAGAAGAGAGGTGCCAAGGGTAACCATGGAAAGTTTTCGCCTGAGTACCCAGAAAGACTGACTTGCCAGTTCATGAGATGAGACTGTGAGAGGTGTAGTTAGGAGGAAGACAAAATTTTGGCTTCAGACATGGAATGACTGAGAATCCTACTAAACAATTCAAACGAGGATTTCAAGTTGGCAGTGTTCAGAATTTAGGGGAAAAAAAGTTTAAGTTGAAGATACAAATCAGAAAATTATCAGCTTATAAACAGGATTAATTCACTAAAGGAGTGACCCTGGATAGAGCAAGGCCAGAAATTTGTGCTCTACAGCCAGTGTTATGGACAGAAACCCAAGAAGCTAACCCCTAGGATGTTTCAAGGAGGAAGTAGTCAGCTATGTCAAATTCTAGTAATATGTACCAAGAGATAGTGGCAAAGACCTGACTGCTGGATTTAGGAACAGAGAGGATAACAGTGGTCTTGACAGTCCAGAATTTTACCAGGCAAGGACAGCAAAGCTAAAAGAGGATTCATATGAACTGAGGGTGTAATTATAACAGTGTGTTATGTGGGACCAATGAAAAGGTAGCAAAGCATTGTAAGTAACAGAGGGGTTGAAGGATTGCTGCTGTGGGAGTAGTAGGAGTGGTCTGGGAGGAGACAGTGGTTAGGATATTTGGAATAGAGGTGATGAAAGGATTTTAGGCATGAATAAGGTTACGGTCTAGGAAATGATCATGAGAGTTAGTAACTCAAGAGGGAAGGAGAACATGATCATTGAAGAAGTCTAGAATTGCAGAAAGTTATTTAGGTAGAAAATTAAATTTCCATATATCATCACAGAAGTAATGCTGGGAAGAGTTAGTGTGAGCTAGGAGCTAAGATCTTAAATGAAGGAATGTCAGACTCTGTTCTTGAGACCTTGACTCATGAGATTCAAAGATGGAGTTTCTAGGCAAGAGGTGGGGAAAGAGTCTAAAAACACCAATGAGTAGCAAGGAGGACCTCTACCTCTACCTTCTGTCGAAGTACTATGAGGGAACCTGGAGGGGGAAAAACCACTAGCTGAGAAGACTGCAGGAAAAAGCTGGAGAAAATGTCATCAGTGAGAAACGTAGTTTCATTGTGAATGATGATGAAGGAAACGAGCAGGGAGGAGGCTAAGCATAAGGGAAATCCAGGGAAAGAAAAAGACCATGGCTACGAGATGGAATAGCGGCTCTGAGGGCATGAGAAATGATCCTAGAGTCCCTGGGCTACATGCAGCTAATGCAAACAGATACAAAGCTTCATCCTATGGTGACTGCAGAGGAGGATGAGAGGTGAGTAGAGAGTGGGGTGGGGTGATAAAGATGGGGAACCCAGAGCCCTTCCTCATTTTTTTCCTCAAACAGTATGGAAACCGGGGGTGACAGTATGATCTGGGTACTTCTTTACTCCTCTTGCCCATGGAGACAAGAAGGCTAAGAAGGGCTTCTGGTATTCTGTCCTTTCGTGATGTGAATTCTCTCTCATTTCAAAACATCTTTTGAGTGATTTTCTGTAACTTTCGGTAGCTGGAGGGGATATGCTGATTCTTCCCTTCTTCCAACCAAAGAGGGAATGTGAAAAGTAGTCAGCTAAAGCCCAGGGTACAGTCTGTGCTCATGAAGGACAGCAAAGTCAGCCAGAGTCAGTGCTAGAATTCTGTGCCTTTTGGCACAGGGCCTTAAAAAAAAAATGGGCTACCAAGTCCCCAAAACCTGGCTCTGAATTCATTTTACATATTCAACTCCAGTCCCAGGGGATCCAAAGTACTCTTCTGACCTCCATGGACACTGCACAAAAAGGGTGCACTTAACACACACGTAGGCAATACACTCATACACATAAAACAAAAAAATTATTTTAAAAAGGAATCATTAATCATTGTCACAAAATAATACAAATAAACAGTGTTGGAGACAACCTGGGCTAAGTAACCACCCTACCTTATACATCTTCAATAGAATCAAAGAAAGAGGAAATTTTTCATAGAAGTTCAGAAACTGGTCAGATGTCCTAAAAGGGCAAACCAGAACAGACTCTAATTGCACCTCTCAAACTACCAATGATCAGGATGAATTTAAGTCATTCTTTTTCTAAAAAATAAGTAAAATCGCTTCTTGGCCTTTTGGCTAAGATCAAGTGTAGTATCTGCTCTTATCAGTTTAATATCTGATACATCCTCTATCCGAGGACAATATATTAAATGGATTTTTGGAACTAGGAGTTGGACTAGGTAGGAGCTTCTTCCGTCCACTCCAGGCATTGACCTGGTATTGCAGTACCTCCAGGAACGGTGCACTCCCTCGGGAATCTGAAGCTCTTATAAAAAAGAAAGACATCTGTGGGCTCCGCTCGCCCACACGCCCGCACGCCCACACGCTGCATGCTGCCGCCCCTTCCGAAGGCCCTAGCGCTCAGGCCAGGTCGCCTCTCCCCCCTCCACCCCAGCCACAGAGAGTTAAGTTTGAAGAGGGGGGTGAGGGGAACATGGACATGAAGAAGAGGATCCACCTGGAGCTGAGGAAACCGGACCCGGCAGCTGTTCGAGAACTTGTCTTGGACAATTGCAAATCAAATGATGGACAAATTGAGGGATTAAGGGCTTAATTTGTGAATTTGGAGTTCCTCAGTTTAATAAGTGTAGGCTTGATTTCAGTTTCAAATCTCCCCAAGGTACCTAAATTGAGAAAGCTTCAGCTCAGCGATAATAGAATCTTTGGAGGGCTGGATATACTAGCAGAAGAACTTCCAAATCTCACACATCTAAACCTAAGTGGAAATGAAAGTTATCAGCACCTTGGAACCTTTGAAAAAGTTGGATTGTCTGAGAAGCCTGGCTCTGTTTAACTGTGAGGTCACTTCTCTGAATGATTACGTGTCTTCAAGCTCCTGCCTCAGCTGACCTACCTGGACAAGTAGGATTTTGATGATGAGGATGAAGATGAAGTCGAAGATGTAGAAGGAGAAGATGATGAAGATGAAGTCAGTGGGGAGGACGAAGAATTTGGACATGATGGAGAAGTTGACGAAGATGAAGATGAGGATGAGGATGAAGGTGAAGAGGAGGAAGAAAGCAGGAAAGGTGAAAAGAGAAAGAGAGAAACAGACGATGAAGGAGAAGGCAATGAAGACCCCAAACAACCTGCAGAAACAGAACTGTTCAGTATTGGTTGGACTGCTCATGGATTTGTAGCTGTTTAATAAAAGGTAGCTGTGATACCCCAGGACACCCACCCACCCAAAGAGCCAAAGAACAGTTCCTGTGGCATTCCACCTTCTTCCATTTAGTCCCTTTTGGTACTCCACCACCAAGAAAAGTGTAAACATTGTTAAGTTTTCCTGTACTACTCTTTGCTGTAGCCTGGATAGCTGTGATTGGTGAGTCAATCATCCCTGGCTACCAGTTACACTGAGACTGTAAAATTTTTACTTTCTGTACAACAACAAGAAAAAGGTTTGTAAAAAAGAAAGACTACATAATCGGTAGCGGGCCTGGTATCGCACGCCTTTAATGCCAGCACTTGGGAGGCAGAGGCAGGCAGATTTCTGAGTTCAAGGCCTGGTCTACATAGTAAGTTCCAGGACAGCTGGGGCTACAGGGAGACCTGAAAAAAAATAAAAAAAAAAAAAAAAAAGTAAATTTCCTCAGGAAAGGTCTGGAATGACACTTTGTTAAGTCGCAGATTCCCTACGAATAAGATAATGCAAAAGTGAAGAAAAAATGTGTTCAGCTCAAGTTTTAGAGCTATACTATTAATTTATCAAGTAATGAAAATGTTTAAAGATTAATGTCAAAATTACTCTAATTACAGTCTTGTTCTGTGGTTTTGTTTTATACTGTTTAGTTTCTTCACTTTTTATTCGAGTATATAAACCTCACAGTACCAAGCTTCATTACAACAATTTCACACACATACATTCTGGGCATATTCCCCTTCTCTATTACCCTCTTATCCATACCTTTCTCTTCCCTTCTCTGCTTCCACACCCTTTGACTTTCACAACTCGTCTTTTTTCTTCTAAATCCCACATATGAAAGAAAACATGTTGTACTTGTCTGTGCATCTGGTTTCTCTCACTTAACAGGATGATCTCCAGTTACACCCATCTTTCTGCAAGTGACATAATCTTGTTCTTTATGGCTGAATATTAAACTACTGTGTTCTCATATGACATTTTCTTTGTCCATTTAAGCAATGCATATCTAATATCTAGTCTGATGTCATAACTTGGCAATTATAAATAGTCCTGTAACAAATATGTATATGCAGTTATCTTTTTTAAAAATTTATTTTATTTATCTTTATTTTTTATTTTATGTGTATGCACATATTGCCTGTATGTAGGTAAGTGCACCCATGTTGTGCAATGCCCGCAGAGGATAGAAGAGGCTGTTGGATCCCCTGGAACTGAAGTTGTTAGCTGCCATGTGGGTGCTGGGATTTGAACCCGGGTCTTCTGCAAGAACAGTTAGTGTTTTTAACCGCTGAGCCATCTCTCCAGCCCCAGTTATCTTTTTTAATAAGATTTATTATTTTATGTACATGGTATGTGTTGACTATACATATGTACACGACATACCTGCAGTGCCCATGGCCAGAAGAGGGGCGTAAGATCCCATGGAACTCAATTACAGGGAACATGAGCTACCATGTGGGTACTGGGAACTGTACCCCTGGAAGAGCAGCAAGTGTCATTTCTCCAGGCCCCCGTATGCAGGTATCTCTACAGTAAGATGACTTTGATTCTTTAGAGTATATACTCAGGTGTGGTATAGTTGGGTCATATGGTAGTTCTATTTTTAATTCTCTGGGGGACCCACGCACTCATTTCCTTAGTGAATGGACTTCATTGTGTATAACAAGTTCCTTTCTCCCACCTTCCATCCTCATCAACACTGCTTATTTGTTCTTGATAACAGCATTTCTGACTGGATTGAAACGGAGTCTTAATGTAGTTTTGATGTGCATTTCCCTGACAGTTAAAAGATGATGAACATATTTTTTTCATGTATTTATTGGCCATTGGTACGTCTTCATTTAAAAAGTGGCTGTTCAATTCCTTTGCCCATTCTTTTGTCCATTTACTCTCCTAGTGGTAGTTTTTTTTTTTTGAGTTCTACGTATGTAAATTTTGTTAACATGTACTATTCTTTATTTATAGTTACAATGTAGTAGAAAAAAACAATTTGTATTTGTAGATTTATGTTTGAGCCCTAGTTTACCACTATGTAAGTTTCTGTATGATGGCATATGCCTTTAATGACAGCATTTTGGAGGCAGAGGCAGAGGCAGGAGGATCTGTTTGTTTGAGGCCAACTTGGTCTACACAGTGAGCTCCAGACCAGATCATCCAGATATACATAGCGAGACCTTGTCTCAACAACAACAACAACAAAAAGAGGTGGATCTCTGTGAAATTGACTTTCAGATTGTTTCTTCAGCCATAAATGATTATCACACAGCTCAGAGTACAGCTCAAAGAGAGAACACACAGATAATTCCCTGTAAATGCACCCTACTAACTTCAAATGAATTCAATTTTTAAAATATTTTATTTATTTTTTTATTATTTTATGTGTATGAGTGTATTGCCTGCATGTATGCAAATGCACCCATGTCACGAAAAGCCTGCCGAGGTCAGAAGAGGGCATTAGACCCCAGGAATAGGGATTGTTAGAGGTAAGAGATGGTTGTCAGCTGCCATGTGGGTGCTGGGAATCAAACCATGGTCCTCTGCAAGAGCAGCAGCCAGTGCTCTTAACACTGAGCCATGACTCCAGCCCCAAGAATTTGATTTTTTTGTTGTACAAAAACAGACAACTGCTTAGTCTAACGCCCCATAGTTATCCATAAACCTAGTTAAAAAGTATTCAAAGACACCTGTCCTCACAATAGCAGCTTAACCTCAGACCAAGCTAATACCTGACCAAAAAATTAACACACTTGTTTAGCATGTTAGAGTTTACAAAGTATTTTCATATCAAATTTCTCATTTAACTCATATGGCTCTTTAGGAATCAAAATATTACAAATTTCAATGTGGAATTCTGATCCCATAAGAAATAAATGCTTAAACCAGTGTCTGCCAAGCAAAATTTAATGTTAATTAATTCACAAACTGCTATAAACTTCAAACTACTTACAATGTTTATCATGTCAGAGAAAATCCCAGTGTATGAAACGATAGAAGAAACACAATTTTTAAAAATAGGATGCTTGAACTCATTAAGATTCAATCTCAAACCTACTTCAGGCTGAAATCCATCAGTACCTTTAATTTCCCAGGTATTATGCCAGCTGCTGGGAAGAAAGACATAAAATACAATCTTTTACCCTCAAGGTATTCACAGCACAAGCAAGAAAGTTACAAATGTAAATTGTAACAAATGGTACATTTAGCTATAAAAATAAACACAAGAGGCCGGGCGTGGTGGTTGGCACATGCCTTTAATCCCAGCACTTGGGAGGCAGAGGCAGGCGGATCTCTGTGAGTTCAAGGCCAGCCTGGTCTACATGGTGAGTTCCAGGACAGGGAGACCTTGTCTCAAAAAGACCAAAAAAACCAAACCAAACCAAAACAAAACAAAACAAAAAAACACCACAAGATAAAAAGTTGAAGATACAATTACCTCAAGTTAGGGGTGGGATGGAAGGTAGGATGATTTTAATTAAAAAAAAAAAACAAAAAACACGAGTCTTAATTTGCCAGGTGAAATAACACAAACATATAAAAGATGGCTGTAAAACCATAAAGTATATTTAAGAAAATACAATTTAGTATTAAAATGACATAGCCTATGAAGGGAATACAAAACTCTGAAGCTGTACTTATTAATTCAGTTAATCAACAAAGATTTAAATGGCTGTACAGGCAATGCTCTATGCAGAGCAAAATAGAAAGAGAAAAGTGTCTGTCTCCGCAGAGCTTATACGTCTATGTTCATGTCTCTCTATTGTAGCAACACTGTCATAAGCTGGGATCAAAGGGAAGCAGGGAGAAAAAGCTGCACACACCATTCAGAATGCCCATCAGTACTAAAACAGTGCTCCTCATGGAAGTAATTTTTGGCTGTGAGAATAACACATTTAGCTACTGATATCCAATGAACAAGGACCAGGGAGGGTAGACGCCCTGGAGAGCAGGCCCACATCCCTCAACTCCACACTATCCAGTCACCTAGGTAAAAAACCTAGCCATAATAATTTGAGCTTAGAATCCAATTTCATTCTATATATAAATACAAAGTATGTTTTATACTATCTTAATGTACAATCAGCTTCCCAAGAACTCTGATTCTTTAT